AAGGCACGTCGTTACCTGGGGATCCTTTCAGAATTGGTAAGTTGCAAGTACTTACTTGTTGCACGTTGTTAACAGCTTGTTCCAAGGTTGTTACAACAACTGGGGAACAAGTTGTGCGAACACAACTTGTCGACAACACAACTTGTCGACGGCTTGTGAACAGATTTGTAACAACTTGTTTGCAGACCTGTAACAACTTGTGCGTTTTTACGTGTGTGCTGTGCGATCAACTTGCTAGCATTGCTAACTCTGAGGCTTTCGTTTTATTTAACCAGAAACGGAGGACGAACCCCCAGCAGATTCAAAAGCATCATTTAACCCTTTGTTTATCGCCATATTGTGTGTGGCAATTCCTCTCATTGTTGTCGGCGTTCTAGTCGGTGGCAAAAGAGTGTTTGCCAAACTATGGCTTCCCGAAGGCTTCCCAACACGTCACATAAGGCGACAATCGCAACGTCGGGATCCTGTCGGAGAGGATTCGGCAGACAAGAGGTAAGATCGTGTGGTAATTCGCGTGCTCATAAATACGGCAAACAGTCAATATGTCAAGTCTTGAGGTCATTTGCATTAATTGTAGTGTTGAAACGTGGCTAACAATATTGCATCCATGATGTTCGACCAACCTGTTTCCTCGTTTGAATGGGCCTTCAGGCCGTCGCCAGAAAATAGTTGGCTTTTTATGTGCATTTTACAGTAGCGTATTATTTTGTAATAATATTCCCTTTTTCCAGCTCTGTAAGTAAAAGCAGTTCCTCGGAGGAGATTGCGGACGAAGCTTACCAACAGCAGTATTCGGGCGCCCGTCCTGCCAAACGTTTTAAACTTATCGACTCCGATGGGCCAATGCGGATTGCGAATCCGAAAGACAACCGACAATGGACCGCCATTCACAAGGAAGTTGCGAACGTGAACAACGGAACTGTCTCCAGTCTCTCCGTACTCACTCCGCCACAGGAGGGCCAAGAGTGTGCCACTGCTCAACAATCTGACGTGAATGCGGTCGGGCCTGGAGGGATAACCCCTATGATGTTGGCTGTTTCTCGAGGGAATTATCTCGATGGCGCTTACGAAGATGAGAACAGTGATGACAGTGGTGCCCAAGTATGTAACAATGTATTTATTTTCAATAACAGTATTAAAGTGTCATCCAGTCATAATCTAGTGATCGGAATGTTCCATTGTCTTTTCATTGTGTTGAATATCCCACTGTTTTTTAGTCACTCATTGACCTCATTTATCTCTCTACAGATTGTTGGAGAATTGATCCAGTTTGGCGGGGCCCTGGAATCGAGGTCTGATGATTCCAAAGAGACACCGTTACACTTTGCCGCAAGACATGCGCGCGCAGATGCCGCCAAGAGGCTGCTGGATGCGGGTGCTGAGGCCAATGCACGTGACAGGACGGGAAGGACGCCTCTACATTTAGCTGTAACGGCTGACGCACAAGGAGTGTTCCAGGTAAAGTAGATTTATCGCAATCAAGCACAAAGCCAGTTTACAACAGTTTAGTTCCATGGGTGTTGGATGTTGGGATCCGAGGTAACCACGTTACCTGCAAATGACTGGAGCTACTGCAAGCCTCGGTCAGAAGGTCTTGTGCACGCCAGTACAGCAGAAAATTTCAATTTTTCCCAGTATCTTTTTGCAATATTTCCCGACCAGATTTGATAGGTGTCTCTTTTCTATTTTCAAACTTTGTGTAGTCTGACTATTTTCCTGTTCTGTGGCCAAATTTTATTTATCAAATCTTGAACCGCCAAGCTCTGAGTTATGTTTCCTAGTGCCAAAATTGACGCCCAGTTGCCCAAAATGTTTCTCCCAGTGAGCCGATCCCATAGAAATCCCCTGTCACAACTCGCAAGCTATGTCCCAAACCTGCCCCTGCTGCTCGCTAACTGCAAATTATTCTTGGTTATCTGCAAGAAAAGTAAATACACAGGCATGTTTATTTCCCTTTGTAATGAAACCGCTAGGAAGAACTGAATAATGCCGACATTAACATTTTTCTTTTATCTTCAGCTCTTGTTACGACATCGTACGACGGAACTCGATGCTCAGTCCGATGATGGCACGACGCCTTTGATCTATGCCGCTCGGTTTATGGTCGACGACATGGTTGAGGATTTGATTAAAGCAGGAGCGAAAGTGAATCTTACTGACAAACAAGGTATGTAGTAGGACGGTTAGCGTGCTGTCCCAGAAGTACCACCAGATACGAAGTTACAAATGAGTCGGACACCAATTCACTTAGGTCTGACAAACAGTGAACCTCAGTTTCACTTAGATCTGACGGAATGTCCGGTGGTTTTCTATCTACGTCGGACAATTTTACGAATGGGTCGGACAATGTCCGTGACCGACCGATATTTTAAGGCCTGGTTCAGCTGCGTCCCTTGCAATACAACACTATTGCACAAGAAAAGAAAACCTTACGAATCCTTACATTCACTTTTTATCATTGCAGGCAAAACAGCATTGCATTGGTCAGCGTCTGTGGACAACGAGAAAGCTACAGCACTTCTACTCAAAAATAATGCGAAAAAAGACGCCCAGGACTCGAAAGTATGTTATCTAGTAAAACATTTATTGCATAAGGCATGCATAAAAATAGTAAATAAACAGTTTCCAGCAGGGGGTGTTGGTGAAGCAGTGTCTCTTGTGATCGAGGCTTGATATTCTAACTGCACATTGTTATTTGATTATAAGTTTGTGAAAAGAGTGCTTCCAGTTTGACTGTACTAAGTAATGCAGGGTTTTTTCCGGATATTCCAGTTTGCTGCTGTAGTAACACTGGGTTAATAAGCGATTGCCCTCACGGGACCTTTGGGAAGAACTAATGGATCTATGATCTATCCAGTTTAAGTTCAGTTTTCCCCCTTACTGAACCTTCTACACAGAACAGTTAGAATAAGCCAAACACCGAACTGATTTAGAAGAGATCCAGTTAGCTGCTCACTTTCAGAGACTAATGTTTCGTGTGTTTCGTTGCAGGGTCAGACTCCATTATTTCTCGCATCAAAGGAAGGCGGTGCATCGGTTGTAAAAATGCTTCTTTCGTCATTTGCTAACCGGAAACTGGCTGACAACATGGATCAATCTCCATTGGACATTGCTAAGCAACGGGAGCACGCTGACATCGTCAAGCTTCTTTCTGATTGGTCAATTGGATGTAAATCTCCAACCGCTGCGCCGGCGCCAACATCTCCTCACGAAGAGTTGTCCCCACATGCCGCGAGAACACTCTCACCACCCGACGTCAGGCCGAAGACAAACGGCAGCCCTGGAATTGCCGGGCGACCAGACACACACCAGAAACCCAACAGAAAGAAACGCAGGAAACCACGGAACGACAGCGACAGTCAACAACCTGTCCCCGTCGCCATGATAGTCAGCAACCACAGCCCAGGGAATAGCATATCACCCAGACAAGGTCTATCACCGTTTAGCAATAATAGTTATGGCGGGAGTCTCAGTCCTTCAAATTCAACTTTCTCGCCACCACTACATCTCGTGGACAATACGACGTCACCACTTCGAGATTCGGACCACGTCCTCGGCGGGATCTCAGACGCGGATTTCTACTCGTTCGCTGAAGAGTTCGGTTCCTATGGCAACCAACCCCATGACGAGACATTGAGTCCGGAATTTTTGAATATCGAAAACCCCGTAGATTTTGCGATGTTGTTAAATAACCCTAATATTCAACAAACAGGGAATCAGGACTGTCTGTACGCGAATCAATACCCACCCGACAATGTGATTCTGCCCAATGGTGTGGACAATCCAGCGCGCATGCGCCAGAGAACTCAAGGGCCACCCTCAAAAACCTGGGTGCGATCACCATCCGAAATGACTGCTTGGAATTCAATGTGCAGTAACGGACCGATGAAACAGCATGCGCCACCAGTACAGATGAACGGCGGTTATCATCGTGAGCCGAGGAATCGAGACTGTCAATACCCTACGCCCCCTTACGAACTTTCCCCGACCTCCAACTCGCCGGAGAATCAATGGTGCTCGTCGTCATCACGATCGTCAAATTCCGATTGTTCGACATGCTAATTCGTACCCAGTCGATTGGCTGATGTTTCGCGTATCAACGCATTGTCGAGGAAGCCTGGATACGAGAAAGGCACCTAGAGCATTCATAAGAATCAAAGGGTAATGCTAAGGTTTCAGCTTGTAACATCAGGTCACCGAACAAGGTCTATGGCTCTGTATACGTTGCCGAACTAATAGCCTGCAAGGCAGGTGCTTTCCCGCTTATCCCCAGCCTGCAAGCGCCTGCCTCTACCAAACTATCGTTACTTAGATTAAATCGATTACTTACATTGTCTCGTATGCATGCGAGTTTCACTCGACACCTTAGAGCTTGTTTTCTGACCTGAGCTGGTGAATCCAAAATAAACTTCAGATTTGTCTTTGAGAATAAGTGTTGCATTTTAAAGAGCAACTGATGTTCTTAAGTTTCAAACAGTTGTACTTCCAACAGATTTTTCGTCCAGTGTCATTTTAAAATCAATGGGGGACTCAATGAGCTAGTTCATTCATGTGATCATCCAGTTCATAGCTCACATGTCTAGTTACCGCTGTTTTGATAATGTAAGTATAGAATTGAACAAAGGTAACCAAACATTTAAATTATATATGTGAGTGAACTGGGTGACGTTACCGATCTTTTCACACATTCTCGCGACAAATCCAAAGTTTTAAATGTCTGTTGTTGACAGTGTACATAAAATAACCGAAACGACAAGCGATTCGTTTCATTTCACTCGCGACTTGCAGTGAAAGCCGCCAACAAAATGGCCGAACAATGAACATTATATTCAGTTTTAGATCATTTCCAATCTTGCGCTGTAAGAACAAGATAATATATTTTTGTTGTATTATTTAACTTAAAGTTTTATGTAAATATTTAACGCTGTAAAGAAGTGATATACCGAATTATTGCCCTGCTTAAAGGTGCTACCTCGCCAAAGATTTTGTGCAAGTGGATGAGCTCAACAAAAATGGAAAATTCTCTGTGAAACCATATTAAATTTTTAGGCATTTATCAACCGAAATTTACCCTAGGAAACATACCAAAAATGCTCTACTATTGGTCTCGACATACCCAGCGCTTTCGCACTATTCGTTTCTGTTCAGCGCATGCGTATTTATCAAAGAATTGCGCCTTTAAGTGGGTTCAAGGTATATCTTTGAATTTAACATATAGTAGCAGTATTTGCTGTTAGTACTTCAATTACGGTTCTACTTCGTAAGTAATGTATATTCGTATATTACGGTTCAGTAAATAGAGTTTTTAGAATAAAATTATTTTTACATAAAAGAATGGTGTTAAATGGTGTTATTTTCTGTGTTACGTTGGGTGGTGGTGCTGGTATGGTGCTGCACAGTGGTTGGTACACATACCTCCGACGACTCATTCTGCAATTAGCGTTTGAAGCGTTTCTCGCACGGGTCAATATCCACCATTTTGGGGGTACTGTTTTCCGTCGTCAAAGAATCTAGACAATTCAAACAATGTGAAAAATGGCTTTTCAAAGTTGTAACTTTAATTTAATTGCTTTTTCCATCACCACTGTACGTACAGAAATATATACACACACACGCATACAAACATAATACAATGACATAAACTGAGTTGATGGTTGGGTATCCGCAACAGCCTGAAACCAATTACTGCGAGCCCAAAACGGTAAGAGACAAATATCAACACAAATAACAATTAAACCATGGAGGCTAAAAACAACAGTTCATTGAGTTCGTTAAAGTCCTTTCTCGCCTTTCTCTATTGCATTTCGTGCAAATCGTTTTAAAAGTTCGTGCATCACCGCAATCGTATGTGTTCTTTAATGCAGTATTGTAGTAGTCTCGCATTACAGACTTGAATGTGTTGAAGTTCTTTACCACTAACATACCACTACAGTGATACAAAATTCGCATTTTGCAGTTCGTGCACTCTCAGATTTGGGAGAGGCAGTGCCCCCCAAATGGCGGGTAAACCAAGAGTGAGAAAGCCTGATTGATCGGTAATGTCTAAAAGGGAAGAGATTATTTCGCTGGCCTCAAAGTGACAAAACGTAACAAAGGAACGGTTTTACTAACACTAACCCTACTCCAAACACCAACTCTAACCATAATCCTAACCCTAACCTAACCCTACTACAAATTTGTTTCTAAACCAATCTTGTAGAAAAAAGTTTTGACAAAATGTCATTCTGAGGTCAGCGAAATAGTTGATGCCGTCTAAAAGGGATGAGTGTTGGTTGTAACCTGCCTCTAGTCCATGTCCGATTCTAGTTTCACCTGCCTAGCCTGCTCAGCAGCCCCCACCCGAAAATTTGAATTTGAAGAGTGCTTCCAATTTGACCCTCAGAATTTGACTATAGTCTGTCAAGCTCGGCAAACGTCGGGCAAACCCCCGCAGGCCCCACCCCACTCCCACCTGAACTGGGGGGGGGAAGTAAAGAGCAGGAATGCAAGGTTGGGAGAGAGGTCTTAAATGAGAGGGGGACTTTATACTTTGCCACTTTGGAGCCCTGCTGGTATCATTACAGTGATATTACAGTGTATGGTGAAAACACTGAGCTCATATCATCACTGGATAGCGCTAATAGTTGGCAGTGCGAATCGGGTGCAAAATGGCGGCCGAAGTCAGACAGTCACTCGCTAGTTTGTTAAATAGTGGACTCTCTCCTAAAGATTTAACTGAGAGATATAGGCGAATTTTAAGTCATATTGTTGAGTTAAAGAATGGGGAACTTGTTGAGGGGTTGAGGTCTTTTATTGATGCAGGTTTGTAGATTTTATAACAATTTATAAGTAACAAAAGTAGGCAAATAAGTTGTTTTAATATATTGGACAGGTATATTTTTATGTAGCATTATTGAGGCCTGAGGGTGGGTTTATTTAAATGCCAAGTCATATATGAAATACACCTTTGGCTGGAAGAAATTATACGTATTTTTAAAATATACGCCTTTCTCAGTACAAATGAAATGTTAAAATGTTCATTATTTTAAAAGTACCGTACATCTTTAATTTGTCCCTCCCCCCCCCCTGGCGGCATGTTAGTCGGTTTTATAGGAAGTTTCAGTGAGTAATTTAAATTGTTAATCTTTTAATTCTATTTATTGATCACTAAATACCAGATTACTAAATATAATGAAAAGAATTACCATTTATATTTTCTCACTTCAAATGATACTTTATATATAGTATCATATATTTGCCAGACTCTTACTCAAAAATGGCAATAAGGCTAAAGGAATTAACATATCAGTTTACCGTCATCCGCCCGTGTGTGTTATTGGCAGCCACGTGAAATTTTCATTATTTCAATGTTTTTTCATTACTTGTCAAATTTCATAGCAAGTGTTTCAAAAATGGCTTTCTGTTGAAATTTTTGGCAAATACTGACTTTGTTTATACAGTTAGCGAAGCGACATGGGCGAAACGGAGTCAAAGACATAGATTCTTGGATTTTTTTGGTCGAAATTCGAATTTTTAGCTCAAAATTTGACAAATTCAAATCGTGAAAAATAATGAATAATTAAAAAAATCATCTGCATCAACTTTTGAAATTTCAGGTGACGGTAAACTGATACCTTAATTCCATCGGCCTAAAAAGAAATACAATATGTATAATTACATTATATAGTTGGCAGTGAAAGTGTGAGCTCGGTGGTTTCGCGACAATTACTCACAGATCTGTGTAACCATATTCTATCATTGGAAACTTCCGTCACAAAAGATGTTTCACTTTATGCCTTGGTCAAACTTCAACCTAGAGCAATCTCATTTGAAGAACAGGTACTTTGAAAAATGGGATGAAGTTTTTTTGGCACCCCCAAGAAACCACATTTTTTAAAACATATACTGTTCTATATTGGAGAGTGCCCCCACCATCAAAATGAAGACTACCACCATCTCATTACCATCATCACCACCACCGTCATCATCATCACCACCATCCCTACCACCATCATCACTACCATCAACACAATCAACAACACCATCATAATGTGCACCATCACATCACCACTGCCACTATCATCACCATCATCATCACCACCATCATGACTACCAACATAATCACCATGCACCATCATAACCACCACCATTAACACTAGCGCATTCATCATCACTAGTTACCATCATCATAACCACCATCAGTATCATCACCACCATCACTACCACCATTGTCACAACCATAATCTCCACTGTCACCACATCACCATCAAGTTCATCACCATCAAGTTCATCACCAACACTATCACCACCATCATCCATTATCATATTCACCACCACCATCACAAGATCACCACCACCATTACCAGCATCACCATTATCATCACCACCATCACCATCATTACTATCATCACTACCATCACCACTATCATCATCATCACCATCATCACTACCATTGCCACCATCACAACTATCACCACTATCAACCACCTTCACCACTATTATCATTGCCACCATGACCACATTTCACCAGTATAGACCCATTGCACATGACGTCACAGGGCTGGTGAGGATGCATCTGGAGGACAAATTAGCAATCTATGCATAATATAATTTCTGTAAACAAAGCAAATTTTGTAAAAGTTTATAATAATTTTGTATTAAGATGGTTAATTTTTGCACTGTATGTGGTTGTTGTACCCGAACAGATATTGTTAGGGAGCATCTGGAGGACACTCTAAGGATTTGTGACGTCAGTGCAATGGGTCTATAATATTTTTAGGTTGCAACAATCAGACAACATCTGGCCACAATTTATGAGAAAGAGCAATGTTGGAAAGAAGCTGCTGCTGTCCTTGCTGCAATCCCACTCGAAACTGGACAAAAGTACGTTAATAATGGCCGCTGTTTTAAATCAACAACTTCATATCTGCACCAGAGAAACACACCCTTTCGATAATTACGTCATTTGGCCTGGGAGCCTCGCTCGCATGAATCGTGAGCCAATCACCTTGCATAATTTACTAATGAGAGCGAGGCTCCAAGACCAAAACCTATGTGTGACGTAATTATCGAAAGGTTAACGATGTGGGAAAACACTATAATTTCTGTCCTTAGTTTTAATTTTTTTTTAAATGATTTCTATCATTCAGGCAATACACTGTTGACTACAAGCTCGAGACATATTTAAAGATCGCTCAACTATATCTGGAAGACGAGGATCCAATCAACGCCGAGGCGTATATAAACCGAGCTTCAATTATTCAAGCTGATACAACCAACGTTGGACTTCAAATGCTATACAAGGTTCATGACACATTAACCCATTGAGTGGCAGCACTCTTCCCTTGACGAGTAAAATCATCTGGCATTAGACAGAGCTTCGACAGGAGCTTCGGTCAGGTGGTGCTGTCGTCGGAACAAGAGCCTTTCACCTCTGAGATCGTGGGTGTGATTCTCGCTACGGACTCATGTGAAACGAGTCAGTCAACGCTCTGCCGAAAGTCGTGGGTTTTCTCCGGGTGCTCCGGTTTCCTCCCACAGGGAATGGGGACCTTTAGCAAATAGGTGACGGCAACGCGACGACGACGGCCAAAACACTCTCGTTCAAATAAGTATATTAAACTTCAAGAACAACATGTCTTGTATTATCCGTTGTATGAATTTATTGCAGTTTAAGAAGGTTAAGACAGAGGTTTATAGTTGAGAAGACTTCTACTAAGCCAATTTGCCGAGGACGACTTCTCGCGGCTTGAAAGGCAAACGTTGTATACAAAACGTGAAAATCTTTGGTTTGCTGTTGTAAACAGAGCAAGGACGACGTCTAAAACTCCCAAGGGACCTTTAATTATGCATTTTCTTTCTACACTGTAATAAATTTCATTGTATTAATAGCCGTCGCCATCCTGCTAGCTAAAGGTCCCTAATGTTGACAGGGTGGGTTAGGATAAACACAGTTAGAAAGTAATATCATAATCGTTATAAAGATGAAATATTAGAATGTTAGGGTTTGTAATCCAAGTGAGTATATATACATTTTAAGACCTGACCAGGAACGACTGCGAAAAATGCAGCACAAGGTCCTCTGGTAGGAATTGAACCTACGGCCCTGCGATTCCGGTGCAGCGCTCTAACTAACTGAGCTACAGAGGCCAGCTGTTGAGCTGTAACCGTAAGTTCATGTATATATAGGTAATCGGGTGTGCGGGTTGTGATAAGGTGGACCTCAATGATTTGGTTTCTTGTACTTCACTTGGTGGAATTAATATTAGAATGTTAGGGTTTGTAATCCAAGTCTTAAAATGTATATATACTCACTTGGATTACAAACCCTAACATTCTAATATTAATTCCACCAAGTGAAGTGCAAGAAACCAAATCATTAAAAATGAAATAATCTAGGCTAAGTATGTAATTAGATAAGCGTAATACTCGATGTGGAGCGCATCTGATCATATCCAGCATGTAAATTTACGCTATAGAAATGCTGTTCGTGATCATCATCGAGGTTGTTTTTAGGTTTGCTACGCCAGAGTGTTGGATTATCGTCGAAAATTTATTGAAGCAGCGCAGAGATATTTGGAGATTTCATATCGTTCTGAAGTGGATGACAGTGAGAGAATGATGTCGTTGGAACACGCGCTTCACTGCACAATATTAGCATCCGCAGGTGAGATGGTCCACATTTGAAGTGAATTATTTTTGTCATGGGGGATATAATTGAGAGTTTTGGCAGTCATAAGAATACCGTTGTGCATAGAGTAAAGTTTGTTTGAAAATTAATACAGCTCGCGGTCTCATTTGCGTTCCGAACCTGTCTTGCGGAAATCGTAGGAACGCGTTCCACAATTTTCTTTTCAAAACTATATTCTCGCATCGGAAAACGGGGACACAGCGAATGCTGCTTTGACAAACGCGTGCTGGTAGAAACGCAATTGCAACGCAAATGGGATGCATCGAAGAACGTATACCGGACTGGTATTATTAAAAGTTATGTATAATTGTTATTTTTCAGGTCAGCAACGCTCAAGGATGTTAGCAACGTTGTTCAAAGATGAAAGATGTCAACAACTTCGTGCTTGTGGCATTCTACGTAAAATGTGAGTTCTATGGTTCGTACGTTAATTCTATAAAAATTATAGTGGTAAGCATTATTAAAATAATAGTTATTCAAATTTTTTTTTAGGTATTTAGATCGAATTATCCGTGGTTCAGAACTTCAAGAATTTGCGACATTGCTGAAAGATCATCAGAAAGCCACTATGGCAGATGGTACGCAACTCAGAACTATATGTTGTCCCTGATAAGCTTCCGTGGTTTGTCTCTGAACTACTTGAAAAAGATATCTCAAACGTGGCGGTCCAGTGTAGGTAGTATTCTACATTATATCACACTTGCGTCGGTTTTCTTTGATGGTCCGAGGTTTATAACTAGCTTATAGACCTTGAATAAATGATTGGATTAAACTTGTAGACAAAACGCGAGAATTTTTCATTAAAAATTTTTGAAAATGACAAAATATGTTGGAAAACCTCCGCAAGTGTGATATAAGTTAGTTATAAACCGAGTAAGTCGGTTTATAACTGATATATTGCCCCTCGGACGCTACGCGTCCTCGGGTCAATATATCAGTTATAAACCTCCTACTCGGTTTATAACTCTTACATAAACTGTCGTGATTTGTGTCTGAACTACCTGAAAAGGATATCTCAAACGTGGTGGTCCAGTGTAGGTAGTATTCTACAATAAGCTGTCGTGGTTTGTGTCTGAACTACCTGAAAAAGATATCTCAAACGTGGCGGTCCAGTGTAGGTAGTATTCTACAGTAAGCTGTCGTGATTTGTGTCTGAACTACCTGAAAAAGATATCTCAAACATGGTGGTCCAGTGTAGGTAGTATTCTACAATAAGCTGTCGTGGTTTGTGTCTGAACTACCTGAAAAAGATATCTCAAACGTGGCGGTCCAGTGTAGGTAGTATTCTACAATAAACTGTCGTGGTTTGTGTCTGAACTACCTGAAAAAGATATCTCAAACGTGGAGGTCCAGTGTTGGTAGTATTCTACAATAAACTGTCGTGGTTTGTGTCTGAACTACCTGAAAAAGATATCTCAAACGTGGAGATCCAGTGTTGGTAGTATTCTACAATAAACTGTCGTGGTTTGTGTCTGAACTACCTGGAAAGATATCTCTAACGCGGAGGTCCAGTGTAGGTAGTATTCTACAATAAGCTGTCGTGGTTTGTGTCTGAACTACCTGAAAAAATATCGGCGTTTCTACATTCAAAGCAAATCATTGACTTATTTAGGATCCAGTATACTTGACCGTGCTGTGATTGAACACAATCTTCTATCAGCCAGTAAACTGTATAATAACATAACGTTTCAAGAACTTGGCGCTCTGCTGGAAATACCAGCAGCAAAGGTAACTTACTGAACATTTGCGACCTCTATAGAGATGATATAGTTCATCAATATATTTCTGTTTTGTTTTCAAGGCCGAACGAATAGCTTCTCAAATGATTTCTGAAGGCCGAATGACGGGATCCATTGATCAGATTGACGCCGTTGTTCATTTTGAAAGTGAGTATAGAAAGTAGCGGTATTAACAGCTACCATATTCTGTGGTATGATCGAATATGTACTATACGAATATGTATACTAAAACAATTATTCGCCTCAGGCTCGGTGATTATCGGGGAACATTCACCTCGACTTCGTCTCGGCGAATATTCCCCGATAATCACCTCGCCTTCGGCGAATAATTGTTAAGTGTTCTTGCTCGTATAAGTTTCGACATTTCTGAAGTTGGCCAGGTGCCATCTGCTGTCACTGTAACGCTTCCTCAAAGCCACGAATATATTCCATTTAGCTCAAAAACCTCTTCCTTCGTGGGACAAGCAAATCCAAGGCCTGTGTATTCAAGTAAACGACATTATGGAAAAAATTTCCCAACACGAACCGACGTGGTTAAGTAAAGCTGTCGACGCTCAAATGACGTGAAAATAACTAAAGTCAGTTGTTGAAGGTAATTCGTGTAGGGGTGCACCGGAACCAATTTTTTAAAGTCCCTAGAGCATGGACGATACCTTCAGAGAAGTGACATGCAAGCATTATGTTTTGGAAGAAACCTTGCACCGTTTAGAAAAATGTCTTAATGCATTTCTCGAGCACGCTTGAGAACATGCGCAAAGGAGTTCAGTCAGCTCCGTATGTACCTGGAGTGAGAATTCGAGAGCTATTGGACGTCAGTTTTTAGCCCCTTTCTATTTTTGTCTGCAAGGAGTGTGCTGAAACCAGAGCCGTAGCGACTGGGGTGTGTGGGGGTGTGTGTGACCTCCCCCGATAATTGCGCATGTGGGCAATTTCAGGTATATCCAGGTAGATTTGCAGAAGAAATTCAGGTAAATGAACACAAATTCAGGTAATTTCTAGGCCCAGAGAAGGTTAATTTACAAAAATAAGTGTGAATTTGGAAACGAATGAGGTTAATTTACCCTAAAATGGTACATTGACCGAAAATTTTTTGGCGGGGGGGGGGGGAGGAGGTCGCCCAAAAAAATTTCAGGTAAAAAAAATATTTTTCAGGTAAATTTCGAACTTTTGATACTTTCAGGTAGATTTAACCAAACACCCCCCTGAAGCGAGTCCCTCGGGACGGCCCTGGCTGAAACTTCGTGTTTTGACTTCCATTTAAAGACAAATATTAGGATTTTATGAACTGATGACTTGCTTAGCGATACGGTCCGTTAGGAAAAACGGTATAAAAGGGGGAAATGGTATAAAAGCTGTTTACGACCTTAGAGCTACTGGACGTTAATGGCCTCCATCTTGGCTTCACTTTTCTCATAGGCCGAATGACTGAAGATCTTGCTCCAGAAATGTATATAGAGCTCACTGGTGACTGCTACCCTCGACCTCGTGCCATCGTGTGCGTCATTGCTAGCCTTGACTTCAAACCAGTGTGTACATTTGGAAAATCTCGTATAAGTGTTTATTGATATAAATTTAATACCAAACTGTTTACTTTAGCAAATTTCATCTTAAATGATAGGGGATGTTTGTATACAAATGGGTACGATGTATAGTCTTACTGGATGAATAGGACACTCATGTGATAAGACTAGATTCTCAGGTGCTATAAAAACAATTTAAAATTATGTTCAAAACGAAAATTATATGAATTTGTATACATAGTATAGAGGATTTCCATTTACTACCAAACACCTTTGCGTCTTGTGTTTTTCCTATAGTTTATTGTTGTTTTCACACTCTAGAGATTTTTGCCATTCCAATGTAGGATTTTTTATGGATGATAAATGTTTACACAAAACAGCAAAGCACTTTAAAGTTTAATTTAATATGCACGCAAATTAATTTAATTTGTATCCATTTCTACCTAGAAATTGATTCAATTTCCTGCATCAATTTATGTATAAGAAATAAGTAGGCGTTTTCGCTATCGTTTTCACACATTCGTGAATAGGTGTTCTATAACGTTCTTGTATTTTATAATAGTTGGCTTAATTCCAATACAGGTATAACTTATGCATGAGAGTTTGCAGTCACGCGATCTTGCTTAGCTGTTCTTAATGCTTTTCTGCAACACTATATCGTGTATTCCACTTAAGTTATTTTGTTAATCTAGACCTTGGAATGTCCCCTGTAATAATTTGTGATTGCCAACTCTCATTTTCGTTTGAGAAAAGTTTTGTTTTTCATATTATAGCATCGTCAATTTTGTATTGTTTAATTCCCCAAACTCGATGTGAAAATTGTCAAGTTTCAAAAACATTTATCACAATAGCACTGAATTCCCGCGGCCAGTTTATCCGGTAGCTAAGCCCAAACTAAACAAAACTCCTACACATCTTCTGATTGAGTAAAGGTAGCTTTCGTGCAGTTTTATAGATACTTCTCTGAACATTGAAGCCTGCGGCGCACACGAGAGAAACTTGTTGAACTAAAGCTCAGCAAGTTTATTTCGTGTGCGGATAGTTTTTGTGAAGATTTGGCCTCTCGGGGCCTTGAGGAAAATATCTATATTGTGTTTGATATTTTTCACCTCGCGAGGAATAAATCTCAACGTCTGCGGATGTTGCGAGCTTAATGCTGAGCTGCTTGGGTTAACTAGCCAATGAGAACCCATAGTTTCTTCACATGACTTTGGTCGAAATGGTGGCAATGGAGGAAAATGCTAACGATCTGACCGATGTTGTGTAGTTTTTCCATGAACGTGTGAAAAAGCATAGCTGAGCTGGCCGCCAAGCGAGGCGGTCAACTCAGCAAGTTTCTTTCGTGTGCGGCAAGCTTTAGCTTGTTCAAAGATTGTATGATTATTTTGTTATTTTGGACTTATCAACCGGAGAATCTATTCAGACGTATCCTACAAACGGCCCCTATATTTGCGCGCAACCGTATTTGCTGTACAACGAAATACACGCGCAGTATACATAGAGCATTCGTTCCTTAAGTTTCGTTATATACAGTGTATAGAGCTAGCGATGAATATATTATACCCAATGTTCCTCCGATAACCGCGAAGCCGATGACGAACAATTCCGCCGCTACGTCGAAGTTTTTTAAGTCGGCCCAACGGATCTTTAGATGAAACATACACGGGAATATGAGCACGAGAATCATTCCGGTGGAACAGCCAACGAAGGCCATGAGAAGACTGAAATGTGGAACGCAAACTGCCAGAATGAGCGTGAATAACATCAGGAAGAATCGAAGAAGGTAGCCAGACACTATCACCCTTCTTTGGTTGGTGTAGTTGAAGGCAAGCCATGGAATTTTGAGGTGGTTCTCAATAATGTCGAAAATCGTGAAAGCCGGTACGGTGAAGAAGAATAGAGCCAAGACTACCACAGCTACGCAAAGCGCGCCGCGGAACACGCCGTGCGGGACGTTTAAGGCTACGATTTGGTCAGTCGTCTCCGTGAACGTCATGTAAACTATCACCCCACAGAAAAATTTCCAAAATGTCACCGCGCTGTAACTGAAATTCATAATGCTGTTGTACTCTTCAGGGTGCATCATGGCCGTTTCCATTTTGGGGAAATAGGCTGCTGACGAATAGCTCACCATGACAACGCCTATCGCAATAGGAACAGTGTGAATATTGAACGGAGGTGTCGTAGTAGTCCAGTTTTGCCATTTTGTCAGACTATAGATCAGTACCACGATGGAGATCACGACAGCAGTCCAAGCGGTCAGCGTTCCAAGCCAAGCCAATTGGGTCATTTTTCGGATAAAAATAGTGGGCAGTATTAGGAGTCCTATAATGAGAGTCCAATCACTTTCGCTTAGTGATATACTAGGAAACGCGTGTTTCATGACCATCCCAATCATGATAAGAAACAAAGCACAATGAGAGAACTGGTCGAAACAGTTCGCTATGTGAACCATGTACGTTCCATAGGTGGGGTGAAATGCCTCGCCGATTTGAGGGTAGGTCTCCCTAACTCGCTTTCGCTTCCCGTCGGTGGGGTCGATCTCGTAGAGGCAATCTATGAGGATCTTACCGGTGTAGTTACCGAGAAATCCAATAAAGATTATGATCACTACTCCCCACAAGCCCGCTAGACGGATGACGAAAGGCATCGCCAAAATTCCCGTGCCGAGATTCGCGTTGCAGATATTAAAGAATGTCTGCATTGACGAGATTTCATCTTTTTCTCCGTCGAGAGCTTCGCTTTTTTCGTCTTCTCTTTCGGCATTGCTCGGCAGGTAGAACCAAGGTTTTTGAGTTGCCGTCGCGCTTTCGTCTTCCTCAAGATCTTTCGCCAACAACTTTTGACTCTCTGGATCTTTTTCGCTCATTTTGCGGCTTGATTTTATTCTTCTCAGCCGGATCCAACTTAAAGCTACCACAAGAACTCCACCTTGAAGATTGTATCGTATTCTAGCGGCTCGTTGAGATGTTATCTCAATTTAAGCCTCGCCTCTACTCGCTCGGTGCTAAGCACTTCGATAAACGAACCGGTTTCGAGACAGCGGGTTTTTGAATGATTTAAACCTCATAAATAGTCAACAAGTGAGCGGGCTGTAATCTAGAACGGCAAGGTATTATCAATTATTAACCCCCATTTAAATCCCACCTTTTAACATTGAGTATACGTGAACGATCTAAAGTGTTTTATGTGTCATAACTTTTCGTGGATAACCAGTTATGCCTGTCAACGCGTAGCCTAATTTTAACCTTAAAATGTCTTGCCGTTTGCATCGATAAGTCTTCCAAATTTATATCCTGTCGTAATATGGGCTCAAACAAATTACTTTTCACTCCGCGTGCACAGTACTACTTCAGGCTAATCGAAAAGATTTTTTATAAAAAACCGATAAATTATTAAACGAGAACAAAAACGCAGAGAATTGGATAGCTAATTAGCTCACATTAACATTGTTACATTTTCATTTAACATTGTATTTTAAAATGCGAACAAATTTTAGAATTAAGAAAAAAATGATCTTTTCCTTACAGTAACATTTGGTACAATTTTAAGGTAAGCCTCGAGCTCTAAAATTCCCAAAAAATATATATCTGTTCCGAAATTTTTGAAGAAAAAAACCCCCAGTAGAGTTTGCATTATTAATGCTAATGAATAAGGCAGCTGCCTCATTAGCAGATTAGCTTCTTAACTGGATTAAATGCTAGATATGGGGCAAGATTCCTCTATGTTGTTATTAAACTATATACGGAGATAATGGTTTTCCAAAGATTTTTAGGAAATTTGTATAAAACGCGCGCAAAACTTAACTAGATAAAATAAAGTGGTTAAGTTTTTTTTTGTTGTGGCTCGTTATTAAAGAATGTCGAAATAACTTTTCGTATCTGATTTCATTTTCGCCCTGTTTGTCTAGCCATTTAGATACTTTTGTTTAATATTTAGCCTTGTTACGAGTTGTCCATATTCGTTACACTTAATTTAATGACTTGATAGCTATTTATGCTTGCATTTGAAATCGATTGTGAAACTTTTTGAAACATTTGTAAAACCGCTATTTTTCACAGTTTTAAAGTGTGAACAATGGTATTTTGGTGTTCTAACATAGAAATATCCCCCACACAAGACCGAGAAGGCATTTTCAATAAATACTTGGCTATTGTCGGAAAAACCGCATTACCGCCAAACAGACCAACTGACGACGCACTTGTGGAGAATTGTGGAGGGGGAAAACGCGCTGCCAATTTGGCAAGGGAATCGCTATTCGCAATACCAGCTAAAGGGCGCTCATGGAAAAAAACCCTAGCCTCGTACGCACGTAAAAATCTCACATCTTGTAACAAGTCTGCCAACAAGCCGTCAACAAGATGTATTCGAACTGCTTGTCACAAGTTGTCAACAGGTTTGGAGCAACTTGTTGACAACTTGTAACAACCTTGTCGAAATTATCAGACTTGTTGCAAGGTTGTTCTGACAAGTCTGTTACATGCTTGTTATAACAAGATTGTTACAACCTTGTGTTGACAACCTTGTAACATCCTTGTTATATCATGGCTGTAACAAACTTGTTAGCACAGTCTTGTAACAAGGCCGATAATGCCATCAAGCTTGTTACAAGTTGTTCACAGCTTGTTCCAAACTTGTTACAACAACTGGGAACAAGCAGTGCGAACACAACTTGTTGAAAACTTGTGAACAGACTTGTAACAACTTGTTTGCATACTTGTTACAAGCTATGCGTTTTTACGTGTGTAGCCGGCGGCTTTACGGTTTGACGAAGTCTCGACTGCTGGCCAGAATATTAGCCAAAAGGTGGTCCAGCACATTTTTGAGATCAGTGGGTGTAGTGTTTCCACTGAAAAACTAGAATACGAAGATGAATTGCAAATTTGCAAAACACAAAAATATAGCAATGACCTTGGACATGACAAACTTTTTTTGAAAATTATATAAAGTTTTCTTGTTAACGTTTCGTTGCTTAGCTGATATTCATGTCCAAATTTAAAATATTCAACCATATTTAAACCATTCAATTTTCAACATTATTTCTTTCCTATCAAAGCTAGAATTTTAGGAAGGCAAAACTGGAAACATTTCAACAAAGAATTTTCTATTCCAATATGGCGGCCGCAAGGAGTGCACTAGAAATAGACGGAAGTTTACTGGAAGGAGTGAGTATTTTTCTTTTGTAAACCCCATTTTTTCCAAGCATTTAGAAAGGAGTTTTTTGCGATTTACATTATACTTCTTGTTCGTTATCCTAGGGAGGACAAATTTTACGAAATGCCATAACTTTAGGTTGCTTACTAAACCGTTCAATTCGTGTTTGTAAAATTCGAGCTGGCAGAAAAAACCCGGGGTTAAGACCGCAACATACCACAGGTAACAGTTATTTATTTGCCTAAAACCTTGATTGGAAGATCTGCAACTACCTGAAAAATGAATACAAGGAGAAATTTGACGTTTCAACCGACAAACCCTGCTACTAACTTCAATGAAGAAGAGCCTAATTTGCTTGAAACGTCGAATTTCACATTGTGTTTGTCAGGTAGTTTCATCTCTACCAACTGAACCTTGAGGTTTGATTCCTGCAATATGCGCAGTCGTCTCAAAATGATTGTGTGAAAAGTGAAAAAATGAAATACTAAACACCTGAATACCAACAGGTCTGTGTCTTGTTTGTGATATTTGCCAAGGAACTTTGGAAGGGGCGTCAGTTGGTTCAAGTTCTATAACATTTCATCCTGGAAGTGTTCTTGCCTCAAACTTTGTGGCTGACACTCAAACTGCCGGGAGTACCAGCTTACTTCTTCAAGTTGCCTTACCATGTTTACTGTATGCACCAGCAGAATCCAGTATGGTACTCAAGGGTGGGACTAACTGTGAGATGGCACCACAGATTGATTATATGACTCAGGTACAAAAGATAACATACCATACCATGGAGTACTGCACTACACCACAATATACCATACCATGCAGTATGTAGTATGTACAGTATACCACAACATACCATACCAGTTATCAAACCATATCATACTATACCATATTGCAAAATATCATACCATACTACACCATGCCATACACCATATCATACTACACCATACCACATGAAAACACACTGGTCATACCATACTGCGGATTCAGGCAGACTGTGAAATGCAAATAGTTGTCGTGTTAGGTTTAACAGTTGTATGATGACGTTTCTAGGCAGATTTTCAGACATTTCTAAGCCATGGCTTCAATGTTTATTTTCAAAATTTAAACATTGTAATTACAGCATTTAAATTTTGAAAATAAACGTTGAAGCCACGTACGTCTCAGAAACGTCTGAAAATCTGCCTAGAAACGTCATCGTGCAACTGTTAAAACTAATGAATCTGAATCTGCAGCAACTTACAACAAAATACCATACCATGGCATCAGGCCTAAAAAATACCTGTGGTTCTGTTTCCCAACTGACCCTATTTTTTTCTGCAGACCCTATTATTTTCTTCAACCACGATTGACTGTGCGACCCTATTCTCTCCGGGTGGTCGCGGGATGCTCGTACAGCGTGCCAAACACTAATTATTGAACCAAATTGCCTAAATTTATCCATAGGAACTACGTATCTCCAGTTAATATTGATGTTGACTCTACTGCAAATTGCCCAGCAAAAAATCGCCAAAACCATGAAAAAAACATTTCAAAAATTTATTTTCGACCTACCGACCCTAATTTTTTCATGATATGAAACCGGGAACCATAGGTATTTTTTTAGGCCTCATACCACACCACGTTCAACCACATAACATACCACACATCATTCAGGTTTAAAATTCCGGTTTAAAAGTCATGTTGAAAATTTAGGTGTAAAATTTAGGTTTAAAATACAGGTGTAAAATTTAGGTGTAAAATACAGGTGTAAAATACAGGTGTAAAATTTAGGTGTAAAATACAGGTGTAAAATACAGGTGTAAAATACAGGTGTAAAATACAGGTGTAAAATACAGGTGTAAAATACAGGTGTAAAATTTAGGTGTAAAATACAGGTGTAAAATACAGGTGTAAAATACAGGTGTAAAATTTAGGTGTAAAATACAGGTGTAAAATACAGGTGTAAAATACAGGTGTAAAATACAGGTGTAAAATTTAGGTGTAAAATTTAGGTGTAAAATACAGGTGTAAAATACAGGTGTAAAATACAGGTGTAAAATACAGATGTAAAATTTAGGTGTAAAATTTAGGTGTAAAATTTAGGTGTAAAATACAGGTGTAAAATTTAGGTGTAAAATACAGGTGTAAAATACAGGTGTAAAATACAGGTGTAAAATACAGATGTAAAATTTAGGTGTAAAATTTAGGTGTAAAATACAGGTGTAAAATACAGGTGTAAAATACAGGTGTAAAATACAGGTGTAAAATACAGGTGTAAAATACAGGGTGTAAAATACAGGTGTAAAATACAGGTGTAAAATACAGGTGTAAATACAGGTGTAAAATACAGGTGTAAAATTTAGGTGTAAAAGTTAGGTGTAAAATTTTAAATTCCTGAATTTTAAGCCTGGGCCGGTTGTATAAAACTCTGAATCACTTTTTTAATTACTATTTTGTAGTTAAATAGTGATTAACTCCCAAATAGGCGCTTCTTATTGGATGACGTTTGCACTTAAGCATAGTTAACTTTAATCACTTTTTTATACAACCTGCCCCTGAACTTAAAACCTGAATTTTTTTAAAACCTGAATTTTTTTAAAACCTGAATTTTTTTAAAACCATGGCCATATACCTCCCAATTTTACCTTCCTCCACGTCCATACAATACCCCATACCATATTACACCATATCAATGTATTTTCCAATCAATGTTTTTCTTGATATTAGGTATTTCAACCAGTGGC